CCAAATTTTTTCTATCAGAAAGCAGCGCGAATCGAGTTCTTACAATTTGTTTTTACTTTTAACAATAAGCATGCTAATCAAGAATACACCTGAACAGCCAGGCAGGCATCTCAGAGCTGAGAGCCCAGTCTGTATTCTATAGTTTTTATGGATGGAGGTATGGGCCCTCTGTTTCTCCTCCTCCCTTACTCTCTGAGATATGGCTGGATGAAGGGTTTTCTGCATGTGGAATTCCTGAAATTCATCCCAGAGGAATTTAGCCCACTTGGTATAGGGCAGGAAAGATTCCCTAAGGTAACCCCCACCACCACCAAGAGAGGGTTCATACCCACCTTACAAGGCTATCAAATAAGGCAAGACTTTTGATATGTAAATGTTGGTCTCCTTCCAATGCTTCATTCTACAATTTTTCTAATTCAACCACACAAAACTTCCAATTTTATATTTTAAAAAATTATCATATTCTTTGGCCTCTCTCACTCACTTAGGCTAATGTCTACTTAGCTCCTTATGAGAAGTAACCCATAATCTTATGGGGGATAGAATGGTGAAAGCTCACCTTCTGTATTTTCTTCAAGTTGGCATATGGGTGTAGAGCTGCTTATGGATATTCTCCTGGTGATGTATGTCCTCTAGTGTTTGAACATGGCAGGAATAGATTGCCTTGTTCCACCCAGAGGACTGATTACATCATTCAGTGGGGTAGGTCATAAGCCCTGCCTCAGGACCCTCTGGAGCTGGATGACCTTTATTCTGTTAGATACAAGATGAATGAGTACATTAAATATGCATGGTCCAAACAGAATTAGTTAAGAGAATGAAAGCTATAGGACCAAGGAGAGGCAACATCTAGGATTTCTGTATTAGGCCAGAAATTGCCACCTGTTGGGTTTGGGACTGGAGTTGTTTGATCTCATCCAAGAAATAGTGAATATGCTTTTGTATCTGTCCAGTTTGACTCACACAACATTCTTCATAGAACATGGCAAAAATGCTTCCTTAGGCAATAATAAGTATGTCAAAGTCCTGCCTGTTGTGAAGGACTGGGTTTAGCAACCCCAGCATAGGCCCTCTAAATGGGTGAAGGCTGTGTTTTGCTCTCTTTCCCAAAAGAAGAGCCCTGTTCTGGCTTACTCTTGAGAACCTGATACAGGAGATTCATAGATATATCCCTATATCTATGGATCTATAACATGTTAGTCAGAGAAACACCAATGTGGCCTTAAGGTTGAAGAAATAAGAATTTATCATGTAGCCTATATCCTCTCTGGGGCCAGTCTCTGTTTCCCAGATGAGGATGAGCCCTAAATAGTTTGCTTCCTGACATCAAGTTCTTTTTTTTTCTTGGATACCTGGTAGTCACACTTTGTTATAAAGTTAAAGAGTGATAGGGGGCCAGCACCGCGGCTCACTAGGCTAATCCTCCGCCTTGCGGTGCTTGCACACTGGGTCTAGTCCCGGTCGGGGCACCGCATTCTGTCCCAGTTGCCCCTCTTCCAGGCCAGCTCTCTGCTGTGGCCAGGGAGTGCAGTGGAGGATGGCCCAAATGCTTGGACCCTGCACCCCATGGGAGACCAGGAGAAGTACCTGGCTCCTGCCATCGGATCAGCGCAGTGCGCCGGCTGCAGCGCGCTGGCCACAGCGGCCATTGGAGGGTGAACCAGCAGCAAAGGAAGACCTTTCTCTCTGTCTCTCTCTCTCACTGTCCACTCTGCCTGTCAAAAAAAAAAAAAAAAAGAGTGATAGCAGCCGGCACTGCGGCATAGGGGGTAAAGCCACCTCTTGCAGTGCCAGCATCCCATATGGGTCACGTTCATATCCTGGCTGCTCCACTTCTGTTCCAGCTCTCTGCTATGGCCTGGGAAAGCAGTAGAAGATGGCCCAAGTCCTTGGGTCCTTGCACCCATGTGGGAGACCCAGAAGAAGATTCTGGCTCCCGGCTTTGGATTGGTGCAGCTCTGGCTGTTGCGGCCAACTGGGGAGTGAACCAGTACATGGAAGACCTCTCTCTCTCTCTCTCTCTGCCTCTCCTCTCTCTGTGTAACTTTCTCTCTAACTTTCAAATATATAAATATTTTTTTAAAATAAAAGTTCTTGTCACATACCAAAAAATGTTGTCTCCAGTTAGAAAATAGACTAGTTAATCACCTACATTTTAGATTGTTTCTCCATCCCTGTCAAGAGAGTGGTCCTTTTAGTCCTCTGCAAAGGCCTTTCCAAATAGGAGGGGGCTGTCTCTGAACTTCAGGGACAGCAATGTCCAGGTTAGCTGTTAGTTTATGCCCCATTTGCTAACCAATTTAAAGGTAAATAATAAATGACATGAGTAGGGTTTAAGACTTAATAACAGGGTGGGCTTTAAGGCCTGGCCAGCTATGTTAGGCCCAGACCTGTGGGCTGACCTATAGATTTATTTCTTCACATGGGCTACTGAAAAAGACATTACAAGGGAGGTGTGAACATACTTAGGAAAAGTACCCTGTTGACCATCATTACCTGACTACACTGGGAGGAGAGCAGGCCTGAGAATAGGAGACCTACTGAGTAGGTGGCTAATC